TTTTAAGAGTTCTAAAAAGTGTTAATTCACTGGCAGCTTAATGTACTTATTTTGGGTACAATTTTTCTAAAAATAAGATTAAAAATACATTTTAGCTAGAACTACGACTTTGTTAGACTTTTTTTTTTTTTTTTTTTAGTTTTAAACTAGAAAAACCTTTTTTTTGTTATCTCTGGCCTCCTCCTGAAGGAGCTCGTCCTCTCAATGTGGACGAGCAGCAGCTCTACTCTGAACCCTGTTAGGGTTTAATGTCATCCTGATATCAGTAATTGCCATTCATGGCTGTTAAAATATGTATTTTAATACTGAAAAAAAAAAACTGAGCTGAGAAATGTGTAAAAAACAATTCAACTCAATGATTGCTTTAACCATATTCTGTGTTTTAAAAAAATATTTTGTATGTGAAAAAAACCCAACAGATTAAAGAGCTCAGTGTTTATTTTGACTTTTTTATACAATAAAACATTTCATCACAATTCAAATAAAAGTCCAAACCAAAGAAAAGACCCCCTAACCTGTAAACTAAGATCTTGATTTAAACATCACTTAATGTAACAAACAAATGTCTCCCAATCCGAAAATAGAACCATGATCTAATAATGATCACATCAGGGCTGTAATGTGATGAATAAAAAAAACAAAAACGTTCTCACATGTTGCTTAGTTGCTGGATTCTTCGTCTCTCCTAGAAAAGTTACATGAAATCTTGTTTTGAGGTTTGGAAGAGAGCGGAGATCCAAAACAGGATTAACTTAAAAAAAAATAAAAAGGAAAAGAAAAGAAGCAACTTGTATCTAAACCCACAGAATCCCAACTTCGGAAAATAAAAAGATCAGATAAATAGTCTACTAGATCAGATAAAGCAGGACTTTACAGGAAATTCATTCTGGGGTAATGCTTTAGTTATGCTTAGTTGGCTACTGAAATGACCCGACGGTCTGGTTAACTTATTTTACACTGCTGCTCCTGATACCTGAACCGATCCGACTAAATGACAGTGAAAACCGTTACTTTGACTTTTATACTTTTATCTACATAATTTAAACATTCAAATACTGTCTCTGCCTGAGGTAAAAGAATCGCTCCAGCTACACTTCCTCTTTCCGCCTTCGACTTGCGGAAACAGCAGCAGTCTACTTAAACACGCACACCGGTCGACTCCTCTAAAATAAAGCGCCACATTTATGCACAGGTGGGGCCCAAAAAGTTTCCATCCTGATATTTATCACTTCATTACAGTATCACACATAATCTGCTACAAATCCCTGTCCTCTATTATTGCTGGACATCGTGACGTGGCTAACTGCTAAAACACAGCCATATTCCCTTTCCCAGACGGGTTCGTTTTTTAAAGTGGAGGCATTGCGACGACAACAGCTACTGCGGTCCTCGTGTGCCTGGTGCTGCTACTGCCAGCGGCTCCTAAACATGAACACAGTCCTGTTACAGAGGAGGGTTTTAGTGATGTAAATCACTAAATGTTTCAGAGATCCCGAGACTTCTACTGAAAGAATAAAACAGTCAATACTCTGCTGTCCACAGCTTTATAATAAAACTATTTGATCCATAAACGGATGCAGCAGACAATAAAATTGACATGTAAAGAGAAGCAACCCTAGATCATCACACTGCCACCACCGTGTTTCTCTGTGGCTGCTTGGCTGTGTTTTTTTTTTCCCTAAACCTTCCCTTTGAAAAAATGTTGCTTCATCAGAAGTGAACCTGGGTTTGAAAAATATTTTGAAAAAGGCAGGAAGAAAAGGTTTCCTTCTCTTTTTTACTTTACCCAGACATGGGAGCCATGGAAAATTTCCTGCAGTGTTGCAGTGGGTCTCTATAGCCTCTCTGGTGGTTTAAATTACACAGCAAAAATTTAAATTCAAGTCTCTTTTCTCCAATCAGGGCCCTAACTACCATTGAGGACACCAAGGTTGTTTCCTCGGTATTATATAAATGTATTTATTTTTAAAATTGTGATATAAATTAAAATAAATAACAGTAAACTGACTGTAGTATCATATATCTTGGTCTCCCACTAAATTGTGCGGTGTTTTATATTTGAAGAGCTAAAAGTAGCGGGACTGTTTCATCATGGTAAGCCATCATCAACACGCACCGTCGCTATGGTAACTGCAACACACAAGCTACAGACCCATGAGTCTCTCAGCTCCTGGAAGAGGAGAACTCCGGGCTGCTAATGCAAGTGGGGGGGCAGTTTAAGTTATTGATAACGGTGAGAAAAAACATGGATTCTCATGAGGAGATTTCAGCCCAGCAAGCTGCTCAGACAGGAAGGGAACATCAAACCAAAGTTGATTTAACTCCGTCTGCACCGGTCAACATCCATTAATCAACATCCATTATGTGATTAATACGTTATGCCAGAGCATACTTGAACAGTGCCTCAAACCGGGCGACGAATCTCCTCTTCTCTGTGGATCAGAAGGAGCTCCTAAATCTCCATCTTCCACATCTGTGCCATGTTTCCAGAATAGAAGCAGAGTTGTTTGGACTTCTTATTTAGCACATGACCGGCACCATGTGGCGACATACGTAAGTTGCTCTAAAACTCATCACGTAATTTAGCGTGTCAAACTGGGTCAGGTGTTCCCACAGGACACCGATCAGAGCCGCGGTGATTTTAGCGTCGGTCGCTTTACGAGTCAGTGAGCTGTTCCCACCTCCATTAAAAGCCGACTCTTCCGGGTTTAAACAAGTTTTTTGGCCAGTGGGAAAGGGGTACATGATAATCAAAGTATTGTGTGAGATTATAATAGAAATATGTTACATTAGGCTCCATCATTAACATAACAGGGTCTGGGTGTCTATTTTAAATACTCAAGTAAATATGAAGCAACTCATTTCAATTATAATGGAATGTCTTTCATGAAACATTTCTAAGCACTTTGATAGAAGCTTCAAAAGAAAGATTAAATGATGAAAATCAGGTTTATAATGTCTGGAATGGCAGGTAGGGGAGAAAGGAGAGGAGAAATGAACAGCAAAGCCTTTTTAAAGGTCACAATGTTTTTTTTGCTCCTTAAGACTCTGAAAATGGCCAGACTAAAATAATGGAATTAAAAACATCTCTGGGGAGGACGCCACTAAACCCGCCTAGGAGTTCTGACGATTGACCACAGTATATATTGGGCCCTGCGTACGGCCCTGTCTCCATTAAATCCATGCGTTATTCTCCTTACTGGTAGCTTTACACAATGAGTTCAGAACCAGATGCAGGTTGAATAGATGCTCCAAGTGTACCAAGCAGGATCTAAACGGTGATAGGTTTGGTTTTTTGTTGTTTTATAATTCTCACTCCTCTGAACCTATATACGTTTTTTTTTTAAATGTATAAAATATACAGAACTAAGGTAAAAAGTCTGAGTTTAATTTCTCGTTCCTTACGTGACAAAAACCAGACTATTTCAAAGAGGGGAACGTTCGGAAGCGTGCATATCAGTGCATCACTATAACCGGGTGCAGCTCGATAAGCCGAGATTGATCGACAGATAAAAGCCTGACCTGAAGTCTTTGAAGCAGCGCTCATAAACCTAAAGGGGAATTCATTTCCTGTCTTCTGCAGTAAAGACAATAAATCATTTACAGTCTCAGTAAATTGTGTGAGTCGGATCAGGTGGATCTAAATTTCAGCAGTGCCATGTGGTTGTGGACTTTTCACTAATATGATAAGAACTAACATCAGAGACAATAATTCCTTTTTTTCCCAAAGCTTTACACATATAATCCTTTCCATAGAAATATATAAATATTATAAAATGCGTTTGTTGTCACTATGATCAAGCAATTTAAACTCCATAAAATCAGTACATTTACAGGACAGTCACAGAGCTTTAGCAACTTTAGGTATAAAAGCTCAAGATAAAGTGAAATGTAACCCAGTTTAAAAACCACAAGTAAAAAAAATAAATAAAAATTATACACACACACACACACACACATATATCTGCCCAAATGTTGAAAAACTTGTAAAAAAGCTGAAACTACGGCTGGGGTTTTATTTTAGAAATAAAACTTGTTTTAACATGTCAGCCAGAAAAACACTTGTGCAGGCTACTTTTTTTAAGTGTTTTGGACTATGGTGATGTCTACATGCATGCTGCTTCTAGTACTCTCCACCTGTTAGATTCTGTGTACCATAGTGCTTTGCGCTTCTTAACTAACTCCTATTCCCGTACTCATCATTGTACGCTGTATGAACTGGTAGGCTGGCCGTCACTAAGTCTACGTAGACAACTTCATTTGTATATTTTTCTATACAAGGCCATGTTGGGTAAACTGCCGGCATATTTATGTAATCTCCTCAAGCTAAATTCCAGCCATTTTCATCTCCGTTCCACCAGGTGGCGCTCTTTCCAGGTTCCAATGGTTTTTACTGAGCTGGGGAAGAAATCATTCTCTTACTTTGCTCCATGGTCCTGGAATAATTTGCAAAACTTGCTCCATTTAAATGATCTAGTCCCATTGAATGAATTTAAGGCCATGTTTAAATGTCATGTAATTCCAAAATGTAACTGCCCTATGTGACCTGTCTTTTCCTCTATGTGAGAATTTGTCTATGTTGTATTTCTGTTTGTATTTTAACTGTTGTGCCGTCTTGGCCAGGTCTCCCTCGAAAAAGAGATTTCAATCTCAAGGGACTTCCTGGTTAAATAAAACTTAAATAAAAAATAAAAATTTTTTTTTACTTGTGGTTTTAACAGTGGGTTGCATTAAGTTTGGCTTTTTTAAAGATGCATTTTAAAATTAAGAAGCCAAACTGGCTGTGTGGCAAATGGATGAACAATAAAACCCATTAGACTGGATCTGAGGCCCAAACTGTGTAACAGTCATATCTGGTAACCGTGGCCAGTCTGCTCAGGTATACTTCCCTTTCCAGAGCACCCCCCCTCCCCCGGTGAGCTTGATGAGGAGGTGAAGGCGAGTCTTCAGGGGTAAACCGTAATGCTGCAGGATGGTTGGGTTATGGAGGAGAGCAGGCCAGAGCAGACATCACGATGTTGGGGCGTTCTGATTCTGGTAGATGGACGCCTTGTCTTTTAAAAGATCCAGACATAAATGGCAGCTCCAGCTCCCTGGATGAGAACAGGGGAAGTTTAGAAAAAAGGCAATGATTCTGAAGTTAGTTCTTTCAGCTCTACATCTCTGCCATCAATGTCACTCATTTATCAAACATTAGGTGGAAGGAGGACCTCTGCTCTAGACTATCCTTGAGTGGAAACAGATGAAAACGCTACTTTATATAGTAAGAAAAGAGAAGTTTAGTTTGAAACCCGTTGGTTTACCATTATTTTATTAAAAGTAGTTTTAAAATACGGATTTTAAAATCTTTTGGCTTTCGTCGGAGGACACTCTTTCCTCCGTCTCCCTCCCCGTCTATTCTGCTTAGCTTATTTCTCCTCCTCCTCGACGTTCATCCTACATGCAAGATGTCACGTTATAGGGCTGCGTATACGCCTGCAGCAGTGTGATGCAATTAGCTTGACGCAGGTATGATGCTGATATTTTTGATTTATGCCCAATTTTGCACACTTTAAGATGCAGCTGATCAATCAAGAAATAGGAGACTTTGTAGACTCCCTCTTCTAGCTGGTCCATCTTCAAAAGTCGTTTACCGTGTTGGCTTATGTGCTGTTTTTTTTTTGCAGCCTCAAACTGTATCCTGCTAAGGATTAAGTATGACTGGACCATTGTTGCTGTACCGAAACTGAATTTCCCTTCAGTGAAACTGAATTTCCCTTCAGGGATTAATAAAGGATAATTGAATTGAATGGAATGGATTAGAAAATTCTTCCTCCACTTTGAAAACTACCGGTATGAATAACCAGCTTTATCAAAGTTTGTACAATTATAGCAGTAAACTAAGCTTGATTTATGATGCTTTCTTCACCCAAATCTACACAGTCCTCTGTTAAAAGGCCTGGTACCTTTCAGGAGGATAAAAACACCTCTGGGATAAATGGGATTTACCTTCTGGAGGTTCAGACATGGGCGGGTTCAGACAGTACATGTGGTAGCCTCTGTCACAGTCGTCACAGAAGAGAAGCTGATCCTTAAAAAGACAAGTAGAACTCATGAACTTCCTTAACAACTTCGATTACCGGTACAGTTAGTTATGATCATCTTGTTCGGGTTGAAAATGAAATCCTGCCTTCCAGGATATCCTTTCTCCTATCATCTAACATTGATCTTCTGACTCGATCTAAAACACGACTTAAAAAAGGCTGAAGGTGCACAAAACTGCAACAGATCGAGCCAGAATTCATATTTCATGGATTAAATCCAGTTTGGGATATTTTACACACATAAGAAAAGCTGAAAACAAACATCTCCTCAAGGACAATAAAATATTCCAGTTTAATAAATTCAACAAACTTCACAGCATTAAGTTATTACAAATAGCAAAGCCAAGTAGACCAAACATATGATACAGGAAGATATGAGGCCCTGGGCTGCAGCCAACTTTGGTGCCAAAACTATAGAAACATCTTTTATGGCTAAAAAAAAAATGTATCGATAAAAACTTTTCAGGTCTTCTACATAATAATGTAACCATATTGGTTAAAACACTAGAATGAATTTAGTAGCTTTTCACAAGAAAAATGCACAAATGTCTTTATTGATTAAAGAAAAAGACCCAAAGTGTTATAGCAACCTTTCCAGGATCATCTGTGTGGATAGAAAACATTCAAATAAAGCAGGCGTAGAGCAAACGCTATAAGGTTGTTACTGACAGGATGTGTTTTGAATAATGTGAAAATGTTATTTTATTCATTAACCTTGCTTTGTTAAAATACAGTCATATGAAAAAATTTGGGCACCCCTATTGATCTTAATTATTTTTATTTCTAAATATTTGGGGGTTTGCAACAGCTATTTCAGTTTGAGATATATATCTAATAACTGATGGACACAGTAATATTTCAGTATTGAATCAAGGTTGATTTCACAGGTGCAAAAATATGGCTACCCTAATGATTTACCCCTAATGACCCTGAACTAATTTTCACTGACTTACTGAAACACAAAATTGGTTTGGTAACTTCATTAAGATTTGAACTTCATAGCCAGGTGTATCCAATCATGAGAAAATGTATTTAATGTATTTAAGGTGTTCTCCGTGTTTGAATCTCCTCTGAAGATTTATCATGGGCTCCACAAAACAACTCTCAACTGATCGGAAAACAAAGATTGTTCAACATTGTAATTCAGGGGACGGATACAAAAAGTTGTCTCAGATTTAAACTGTCAGTTTCCACTGTGAGGAACATAGTAAGGAAATGGAAGACCACAGGGACAGATTTTAAGCCTAGAAGTGGCAGGCCAAGAACAATAGAGAGGCAGAGAAGAAGAATGGTGAGAATGGTCAAGGACAATCCACAGACCACCTCCAAAGACCTGCAGCATCATCTTGATGCAGATGATGTCACTGTGCATCGTTCAACAATTCAGCGCACTTTGCACCAGGAGAAGCTGTATGGGAGAGTGATGCGACAGAAGCCTTTTCTGCAAGAACTCCACAAACAGAATTGCTTGAGGAATGGAAAAGCACATTTGGACAAGCCAGCTTCATTTTGGAATAAGGTCCTGTGGACTGATGAAACAAAGATAGAGTTGTTTGGTCATAACAAAGGCGTTGTGCATAGGGGGCAAAAAAATACAGTGTTCCAAGAAAAACACTTGCTATCCACTTTAAAATTTTAACCAGCATGCTTTGGGGCAGTGTTGCAAATGCTGGCACTGGGAATCTTGTTAAAGTTGAGGGTCGCATGGATTCCTCTCAATATCAACAGATTCTTGAGAATAATGTTTAAGAGTCAGTTAGCAAGTTGAAGGATGGATATTTCAGCAAGACAATGATCCAAAACACAGCTCCAAATCTACTCAGTCATTCATTCAGAGGAACAATTCCAATGTTCTGGAATGGCCATCCTGATCCCCAGACCTGAATATCAGTGAACATCTGTGGGATGATATGAAGCAGGCTGTCCATGCTCGGCCACCATCAAACTTAACTGAACTGGAATCGTTTTCCAAAGAAGAATGGTCAAAAATCCCTTCATCCAGGATCCAAGAACTCAATAAAAAACTACAGGAAGCGACTAGAGGTTGTTGCGTTTGAAAAAAAGAGGATCTACTAAATATTAATGTCTCTTTTTTGCTGAAGTGCCCGTATTTTTGCACCTGTCAAATTTTGTTTTAATGCATACTACACATTTTCTGTTAGTCCAATAAACCTAAATTCAGTACTGAAATATTACTGTGTCCATCAGTTATTAGATATATCAAAATGAAATAGCTATTGCAAACATCCAAATATTTAGAAACAATAATAATTAGGATTAATAGGGGTGCCCAACCTTTTTCATATGACTGTAGTCACCCACTATGTTTGGAATTTTCCTCCATTGCTTCACTCTTGTTCTCATGTTCTGAAATTAATTAAATCAATTCCAGGTAGAAATATTGAGCTTTTCTCCTTTAAAAAAAAATATTTTCTTTCAGAACTGAAATATGGGATCAAGGGATATTAGCGATATACTGGCACCAATAAAACCTATTAAACTGAAAACTGTTGACCTTGCAACTTTCATGTAGATAATAAAAAAGAGTTTAGACAGCAGACAATAACAAAGTAATAGTCTGATTAGGAATATCTTAACAGGAATTATTAATAGCTGTGGGAGTATTTTAGCCGGCTAAGTTTCTCAGCACCCTTGTTTTCAGAGGTGTGGCTGAAAAAAATGGTTCTGCTCAATGCGGCCAGGTGTGGCTGCTGAACAGAGCCAACAAACATTCCTTATCAAGGGGGATTCATGTATGAGCAAACTGGTAAAATCCATATGTAATGTAGGCTCAGGTTGGTTTGGATCATTGTTTTTCTTCTAAAGATTAAACTTTTTTATTTAGGTTATTCTGGTAAAACAGGAGGCTAATCCTCTTTACATCACCATGAGGGTGTAACACAGAAACCAAACAGATCCCAGACTCTATAAAAGATCTCCGAGTTCTGCTCGGTCCTAACGTGGGATACTCACATCATTCTCAGAGGTGCCGCACATATTGCAGCACTTGCACTCTATGCACTGCCAGCGATACGTCTTCACAGCAGCCATCATTACAGGAGTGAACTGCAGGCAGGAGGGGTGGCCTGTGCTCACAGATCAAGAGATTCATTCACCAACATAAACTTTATGCACCATGAACTTCTGCTTTTAAATAACGTAAAGACGCACCTGAGCGTCCGCAGTCAGAGCAGGACACCAGCTCTTCTGATTGGCCCGTCTTGTGATTGGTTTTAGAGTCTCCCAGGCAAAAGTCGCAGTAATTATTAGGCAATGCAAGACCATCCGGACCTTTTTTGGGAGCTGATTAGGAGGTAGAGAGAAAAAAACGTCACCACTAGTGATCCCTGCAGTTTTCAACAGAAAGTATTTCATTCTCTTTTCCTACTTTTTGGCTCCTCAGGCAGTGGTAGGACCGGTTCGTTGATTTCCATGTCGTCCTTCTCCTCTCCCTCCTCCTCTGCTAGGTGGGAGTGGGCGTAGTGGTAGCTCAGGCCTGGGCGGTTCTTGTAGCGCTTACCACAAACTGGATCATAAAAAGTCATAAGTATTAGTATAAGTCCACACTGAGAAAAAAAATAAGGAGGTCAGAGTAAAATATGATTTGTCATTTAAGCGGTTGGGCAGAATCCCGTTTCAGTAAAGTCCTGCTGCTTGTCCTAAAAAAAAAAAAAAAAGGTTCCTTCCTAGACCAGTTGGTGGTTTGATAGATCATCATCATCTAGGTGGTTTTTGTGGTGATAAGTGATGACGTGATGCACAGGGACCTACCGAGATTGGGGACCAAATTGCATTTTTTTCCCCCATGCCACTCTCCCATAAAGGTTATGTTAGAACTTGAATAAAAGCATTTCTGTGAATCTGCAGCTACTCCAGGATGCCGTGGGTCACTCAGCTTCTTGATGAATGCAGATTAATGCTCCACTATCATATCAGGTGGACAGCTGCTTTTTTGGTGGGTTTTCCCAATGGGGGATAAACCTCTTTGATCCACTGAACAAAATGCCAACTTTCCCCTCTGACCCGGGTTTTCATGAGACGTTTGTTACTCTGTCAAGGAGGTTATGGATTACATCAAAGCTATGAACGGATTTTAAAGCTTTTTTGGGGTTTTTTCCTACCAGAGGTATTCCTCATGCCAAGGAACGATTTACACATTATTTTCTAAAGGATTCTTTAACATTATTTGGCAGAACAAGCAGTTCACCCTGAAACCAGAGGGTGGCAGCACTGAGCATGTACGGATTAAATCCAGAAATATTATACTAAAGACACAATAAAAAGGAATCCAAAATTCTCTAAAAAGTCTCCATCTGCTGATCCAAGAAGTAAAGAAAATGAAGGTGAGAGCAGAGCAGACACCAGAGGCTGCAGGGCAGCCATATCGGTTGGTTGGTTAATTAGCAGGATTACTTGAAATGTTCTTAAAAGATTTTAAGGATGTTTTTACCAGAGGTGAGCCTCGTGCCAAGGAACAATTCCTTAATGATCCAGATGATCTCTGAGGGCTTTTAACTCCACTTTATAATTGGGTGATTAATAATAATTATGGCAGAAATGATTATCATAATTTTGACTGAAATCAAGTTATTGCTGAACATTAACAGCTCATTTTAAACTATTTTTTCTTTTTAATGTCAAACATTTTAGTAAAGAAACTAATTTCTCCAGTGGAAGACAAATGAAGTGAAGTTTTGTCAGATGCATTTCTCCTAGAAATCTTCATACAGGGGGGAGGCAGTAATATTTAATTAAAATCATTGCCCTTCATGTGTCATCCATGATGTCTTGACAGGTGCCTCGACACAAAGCATCAGCAGCCACTGTGCACGGACGCCCGCAACAGCCTGTTGATGCTGAACTGAAGGTAGCTGACAAAGAAATTATATTTGGAATTAAATAGAATCTTAAACGCAGCATTGTTGCATTTCTGCACCGGAATACAATGTCACCGAACAGCTGTCATATCAACCAGCTGATCCGGTGGCGCTATGCACAGCTTTCCACTGTTGCTTCAGATTTGTAGCACTGGCGGGTCTCCTAATGTTATACCTAATAATACTATGCATACAACAGTATTGAAGGACTCCTGGATCTGAGGCTTTGAACGAAGATATCAGGATGAGCAGATACAGATTTCTACTTATTAATTGTTACTGCCAACTCCCTTAATCTCGCCTTTGGAGGTCCAGAATTTAAGATTAAGTTGGCAGGATTCTGTCACCATTTAGCGGCAGTCACCAGCAGATGGCTAAAGGCTGAAGTTTCTAAAAAGCAAACCTTGTTTTTTTAAAGAAAACTCTGTCAAGTGTAATTCTTTGCTCTAACATTTATTTCTTAGAACCTGACAGAGCTGATGTTTACCCAATGCTTAAAGGAAACCATCTGAGCCTCTTGAGCTTATGAGCAGTAAAGTTAATCACCGGCTCGCTTGGCTGATGCATTCATTTTCCTCCAGAACTCTTTAGCTTTGTGTAAAGCATCAATATGGTGCCTCAGTTGCAAAGACATTTACTTATAATTTGGTTTTCTTCTTTTTTCAGTTTGACAACTGAGGGAAAAAATAAAAACAATAACCCAGGAGTGTTGATGTAATCTATAAATCGCTGAGATTAAAGGAGATTACGTGATAACAAAACAGAGCGAAAAGATGAAACGTGTAAAGCTGTCATCCTGGGGGAGGGGGTTGTGTCATGTTTGACACAAGATAAATTTATACTTCTTCTTTCACTGCCACACCAAGCTGTGGTTTTCATTTCCTCGCAGCGCTAACCAGCCGCATTTTATCATCTGTCAAGTAAAACGAGTCTAAATAAGCACCTCCAACCATGTGACTGTGGGGGAGGGGGGCAGACTGAAAAGGTCATGCAGACATCAAACTGACCCCATATCAAAGCAAAGGCATTTAGAAAAAAAAAAAAAAAGAAGAATGAGAAATGAGAGAAGAGGACATGAACAAAAAGTAAAACATGCATAAGCAGAGAGTTTAGGAGGAAAATGTAGATTATTTTCTACTGAAACCTTCAAATCAAGTTCATTAAAGCTGAACACATGCAAAATAACGACCTACGTTTGTCCTTTATTTTTCTCAAAAATACTGAATTTGTCTTTCTTAAAAGCAAAAGAAACGTTCATTTAAACAAAAAAAAAAAGGAGACATGAGATAAGTGGGAGCACACACAATCACATAAATGTACTCAGTAACAGAGACAACGAAAGACAGAAGAGATGAAGAGAAATCTACCTCTTTCAGAAGGTTTTGAAATGTGCTTTTGTTTGATAGGGTCTGGAAGAGAGAAGAGGATCAGAGGAAGCCACAGACAGAAGCTACAGAATCCGTCAGCAATGTAAGCGAAACTGCTTCAATAACAGTGGAAAGACAAAAAAAAGTTCAAGGAGGTACAGATTCTCAATCAGAAGTCAGCAAACAGGAGGAGGAAACAATCATATTGCAAAAGGAAGCAGCAGAACTTTAGCTTCAAAGTCCGATTTAAGATGTCCAACAAAGATGGAAGACAGAATATTGTAAATAGAAAGAGAGGTGAGCTCTTGTTTGAAGTAATGTTAATGTGATAATGTGGCAGGAGGACTCACTGTCGCAGGCGTAGGGCTTGTCTCTGTCCTCCATAGCAGCGGTGTCCAGTTTCTTCCTGCCGCTGCCCACTCCTCGACCCTGTGGACAAGAATGGAGTCATTCTACAGCTGGGAGATATGAGAAAAATCTAATATCGTGATACATTTGGGCTATAATCGCGATTAGGGCTGGGCGATAATTCAATAACTATATATATCGATCGATAGACGTGTGGCGCAATAGAAAAAAAGAGAGTCGATAAAAGTTTGATAAAGAAACGCAGTTTTCCTTCCTTCTCATTGTAGCCTAGCATGTAGGTTTATGCTAATCACTACTTCCTCCCAACCAATCACAATCGCGGACCCAGGCACGCCGTCACCAAGCGCCGCCCTCTCAAACCACAACATCCATTTATTTATTTGTTAGATTTATTTTGGTCACTTTTCTGGTCACTTTAGTTTATTCTTTGTCAGTATTTAATAACATAACTCAGCTCTTTTAAGTTATTTTTCTTTAAAACAATTCTGTTATGGTTAAAAAAGTTGGTTAAATAAAGATTTAATTCGAAGTCTGCTTTTGTGTTCTTTATTAAAATTAAATCATTTAGCAATATCATAAAATGTCCAGGCAGAGCTGCACATAAAATATGGTTTCAAATCTTTTCAATAATTATCGATATCGATCAATATGCATTTTTTTTTTAATCGATAAGCTTTTTTTCTATATCGCCCAGCCCTAATCGCGATACACATTATATACCAGCATAGGTTTAAAATACCATAAAAATATATGATATACTAATTAGAACTAACATGCAAATATTTTGGTTTCCAATTTAAAACATTTCATTTTAACCTGCTCCAAGCTTTACACTAATAATTCTGTCATATTATGTCTTTCGGTGCATGAGACCCTGTCAAGTTTTTGTTGTGATTTTTTTCCCTCAGTAATGCTCCACTTGAAAGAGCCCAGTTAGCAAGGAACAACTCAGAACAAGGATTTCCCCTTTTTGTTTTTTATTGAAATTTTTTTTTCTTGATTTGATTAGTGAAGGGGTCATTCAGTCATTTAGGCTGAAAACCTTGATCAGAAGAGATATTGCGTTATTTCAAGTTTAAACAAACACAAATCATTAAATGTAAAAATAAAGATCCATAAAGTACATCCTAATTTTGTTAGTAATTACAACTAACTTTGAATGCAACCAAACTAAAAATGCCTTAGCAGTAAGTCAGCATAAGTGCCAATAAACCTTTAGGTTTTAGCATTAATCTCACATAAATATATCCTGTTTAACATTTAACTTAAATAAGATATGCAAATAGTGGAGTGTCAAACAAAGCATAAGTCCAAAAAGCCATCAGGGTTGCTGTTCCAAACAACGGGACTGGTTTGAGTCACTAATTTAAACAACATGCTGTGTCGTCAAGCTTAACATAAACTTCAGACTTTAAACTAGGCAAACAAATTAAGTGAAAATAATTAACTGAAAACCATTAACATTAAAATAAACTAAGTCAGATGCAAACTGACACAAACATTTTACATGTGCACATGTGGAGCACATTGTTAAGCAGAATTTCATCCTTTTCACTTTCACAACAACAGGTGAGTCATTCAAGAAAGTCAAATCTCCTACCAAATCAGGTAAACTGAGGGATTTTAGTTTTCTTGGTTTGGCTTGTTTCTTCAAACTTTTGCTCCCAACAAACTTTCCTCCTTTGTCCTCCACAGCATGTATTGAACTGGTGTTCAAGATGGCCTTTTAACAGGAAGTTCCTCCCTTGACAGGAAGTCTGTTGGAATGCTTTGCTGGTGATGTTGCAAAATGCAAATGATTGATTGCACCCTGCAGGTACGCCTGAAGATTTGTTTTGTTTATGGAAGTGAATGAAAGAGTTTTTTTTTTATGTTTTCATTGTGCTTTTTGTCAGTTGGCATGACAGACCCAATAACAAGATCCCAGCAACCAAACAGGAAACAAAGCAAAAACACACAATACTAAATAAAATGTTAATATAAAAAAGGCATCTTTTGTGCATAATTTAAAAGAATTGCAGAATAAACAAAAACAAGAAACTGACCTCAAATTACAAAAACAAAAGTGGAAATACTTTCCAAAAATTAGAGCATCACAAAACTATTTGCATTGATCATTACGTGCTTTGAATATTAAGAATCACTGAGAACATTGCCAAGTTTAGAAAATGCCTGCCAAACCTCAAAACAAGACCAAATCACATATTATATATTGAGTGTATTCCATATATTGCCCACCCATAAGTCAATCCACAGGCCGGGATCAACACAAACACCATTCAGTTACTGCTTTACCTTTCCTTTCCCTTTGCCTCTCCTCTTAGGCGTGTCTTCCTCATAGTCTTCATCATCCAGGTCATCCAGGAAGTCATCTGGCTCGAGGATTCTCTGTGTCAGAAGAGGTGGGATAGAGTTTAATAGAGAGAGAGTGAGCGTGAAGTCCAGGCTGAACATCTCGTTTAACGTCCCACTTCCAAACTACGAAAACAAAAACCTTTCTAATCCGGGCTGCTGGGTTCAGGCTTCCGGTGTAGTCGCTCTGATTCGAGTCTTCCTCTGACCCGCGGACGTCAGCGGCTGTCCGTTTGTCGAGAGGCTCACCCTTCAGCAGGGCCTCCAAGCTGCTGCCGTCCGTGGACAGCAGGGCGTCCTTCTTCAGCCCTAAATCTAGCTCTGAATGCAAACGGATTAAAGAATAAATGAAACACAAAGTGCTTTAATCAGATAAACAAGTGAATTTCATCCTGAACCCGGGCGTTTTTTTAAACAGAGAGCCAACATAACGCATTTCTTTGGTACCTGACTTGACGGGGGGGAAGATGAGTCGCGGGTCCTCCGGAGGATGAGATCTCCGTTTCTTCCTCCACCTCCTGGCCGGGTACGTGTACAGCTGCCCCGGGGCCACGCCTGAGGAGCAGAAGAGCTCAGATCAATGATAGCGGAGAATTAAGCCATGATGAGGCTTCAGTTTTCTCTTGGTGGATCTTTTACAGCTGATGGATAAATGACTCTGCAGGAGTTTCCTTTGGAAAGGAAGGACAAATATTTGGTCTGTTTGGATAATTTAATTTAGTCTATTTACAGCCTTTAAAAGAAAAGAAAAAAAAGAAATCTGGTAACAATATAGAGTCGCCGTCTCCCACCAAGTCTGTTTTTACATCTGCGGAAGTTATTTTCGTGTTCGCTCACATTAAAACCACAAACCTCAAGAATTTGATGCAACAGATCAAAGCAGCACAGGACTTTTGGCATCATGATGGATCCATCACTCATCTGTACAACCCGTTTTTCCTGCAGCCTGTCTACAGCGTTAATCTGTCTTTATTAGAGCTGCAGCTAAAAAAAGTCACATCCCTTCCAACATATGACTATTTTAACATCCAATAATGATAAATGAGAAAATAATGCTTCATATGATCTCTTATCTAGGTAGCAGAGCACAAACGAAGTGTGATGCTCTCAGCTATTTAAGAGGCTGTTTAGTACCGAGTCTGGATCAGCAGTAGCCAATCAGTGATGATGGTGAGGGGATGACAAGTGAACAGGTGTCTGCATTAAGCTCAGCTGATTTCACAACATTTCAGCTACAACAGCTAAAATCCTTGATTAACCTGCTAAAAACATCAGTAAGATCATTTTTTGTTGATGTAAAGCGGTGACATTAAGGTGCTTTTAAAGAGCTTTGCCAAAAATAAGAACCTAAACAGATCATGAAAGTCACTACAAACTGTACGGGACGGAGAAAAAAAAAAAGCATCTTTGACCCCCCGCCATAAGAACCCCTGCTCTAATCAAATCCCAGAGGGCTTTAGAGAACAGCTGGATTCACACGGAGATTAGATTACACACAGCTGGACTGTCAAACCTGCTTTATGCTCAGATAACAGGTCGTCTGCATGTGTGTCGAAGTTAATGCAGATATGTTCCCCCCCACCTTACACAGACACTGTGGTGCATCTCCCCAAAATTGTAGGTGGCTGCAGACAGTGCCGTAGACAGCGTTGCAGGGAGGAGAGAAAGGAGGCATCTGATTGGCTGTGACACACTGCTGCAGGAGTATACGTAGGGCCCTATAATTTCCACGATCACGGAATCGCGGACGGCATCGCAGAATTGGCAAATAAACGCGGAATCTAGTGTAAGCGCGGAATTTCTACATTTGAAATGAAATTCTGTTTTTGTGTGGGAGAAGAACGTACGTCGGGGGGGAACACACACCGGGGGACACAAATCTGGGCGACACTACCCCTCCCGCTCCGTCATTTCCGCTCACCCTCCCCACATTAAAAAAAATGGCGAAGCAGCTCTCCACAGCTCAGCTTTCGGCGATAGAGTTGAGAAACACGACGCTAAGCCCTGAGTACAGAGCCGAGCAGTTCCCTCATGACTTTTACGTGTCAGGTGAACTATTGTTTTGCAAGTTTTGTCAACATTCCATTGATTGGAAGTGCAAAAATACATACATAAAACGAAAAAAAAAAAGGAATTTTCAAAAATTTAAACGGAAAAAACGGAATTTGGGAAAAAAAAAACGGAATTTAGGAAAAAATAAAACGGATTTTATAGGGCCCTATATACGCAGCCCTTAATTCAAAACTACTGAACTTATTCAGGAAAATCAGAGGAAAGGAAGCTTAATACCTATCAGATTTATAAATATATAGAGATTTTTTTTTTTATTCAACCTTCATTTTCCTTCCAATTTTTAACTGTGCTCTACTTTCTGTTGATTTATTATTTGAATCAAAAATAATCAAGTGAATCATGAATAAAACTGAGAAACACTGGTTTGATTTTGTTAAATGACTAAAAGGTGGAAAAGTTCATTCGGTACCATTCTGTCTACAGACCACTCTACCTAAATCCTCTTGAACTTTAACTTCTCTGAAGTTTACTTTTCAGGGAGCAACTCTGGAGTACTACCTGGTCCTCTGTGCCTCTTCTCCATCCAGATGTAGCAGTTGCTCTGAGCCACACCAGTCTGGGAGTCCAGGAACGGCATTCGGACGCTCCTCTCTGCACACAGCCGAGCGTTGTAGTTGTGACACTGCTCCAAGGCATCTCTGTAGTACTGCTCTCCCAATCTGAACAACATATGTTAAAAAGAAAAAAAAAATATTTCCAAATATTGGTCAGAAAACAGCCATATGAGACAAGTCTCCTTTATGAAAGTCATCTGAAAAAAGGCCAACAGTGGCGTGGTACAACATGGCCATTTTTCAAGAGATAAAAATGTGTTTGTTCCCACGGGATGCACCTTATCATTAAGTACCAAGGGGTCAGTGCGCCCTGCGGCTCTCTGCATGCGTGTTTTTCTTACAGTTGCAACAACAGACAGATGGAGAGATCTTTTGAAGAGAATACAGTCAGCTCAAATATGTATGAAAGCTGGGTCTCCATCAGAACAAAGTTCACAAAGTCAAAACAGATGAACACAGTTAAAGACCCACTGATCTGATCTGTTCAAATATGAATTATACAGAAAAACATTAGAAATACAAAACCTGCCAGGACTCAGATTAAATTTATTATGCAGATTAATTCTTACAAACAAGTGCTGCAAATAATGAGCAGAGATGAGTTTGGTTTAAAAGTCAAAAAGCTGCCTTTACCAACTTCCTACTCGGAGGAAGAACAAAATGAAAAGTAAAAAGTAGGAAGTATGGGCCCTAAACTGCAGTTAGGTAAGTGAGTGGACATTACCCAACTATTCGAGTTGTCAAGTCCATTTCCTGAAAGCTACCCAAGCTATGACAGAACTTCACATTAGCCAAGTGGAAGATTTATTTAAATATCATGCATACAAAAAAAGCTGTCATAAAATTCAACAGCGGTGTTTTTGAAAGTTTACAACCAGAAAATGTAACTACAGGGAGGAGTGAGAACTGAGTCATGAGCTTCACATTTAAAGTGCGACTCAGCAGAAGATACTGGAGAAGTTCCACTAAAATACCGCTGCAACTATGAAAGGGAAGAGTGGTGCCTGTTCCTTTGTCTGTCTGCCTCATGAATACCTGCTGTGACGTTTTTAGGAAGGATCATATAAAGGATCTGTGTCAAAATGCTTTAATGACATATCAGAACTTTTAATTTACTCACATGCAGAACAGAATTTGAATTATTTTAAAGACAGCATGTATTATACAAAGTGTTGTATTGTGGATAATTTCAAATTAAAAAACTATCTTAGCTTCAGATATTTGCATACATCCCTCTCATATTTGGATTGGCATCCACGTACGATGGCAGCCTTCAACAAGCGTCTAGGACTACGGAGTCCTTTAAGTAAATCCAACTTTATAGTGGAAGTGGTCTGTCCATGTTGGCGGGCCTAATGCCCTCATATTCTTTGTGGTGGTAGAAATTTTGACTAAATTGGATGTTCTAACCAGTCAATGATCCAAGTCACCTTGATGGACAGAATATCTCGCTTTTCAACCAACCATTTAAGATTATCTTTTGAAAATGTTATAAAGAAAGCTCTGTACCCAGAAACCACTAAAAGATTTATGAAATAAGTCAAAAATACAGTCAGATTTTGCTGGAAGCTTAATGAAGTCTTAGAAATGTAAAAATTCAATTCAGTTTACCTGTATAGCGCCAATTCACAACACATGTCATCTCAAGGCACTTTACAGTTCACCAGATCATACAGTCAAAGTGATTCAAAGATTTCTATCTAAGGAAACCCAGCTGATTGCATCGATGCAATCTCTCACACTAAGCATGCTTGTAGCGACAGTGGAGAGGAAAAACTCCCTTTTAACAGGAAGAAACCTCCAGCAGAACCAGGCTCAGTGTGAGCGGCCATCTGCTGAGGCCGACTGGGGTTCAAGGAGACAGAAGCAGAGATACAAAAAGCAGCTGCAAAAGGCGGCCCCGAGCCAACTCCCATGCCAGAGGACGAAGAGAAGCACATCCAGCCAGCCACAGTCAGAGAAACAGGACTACACTGGAAAAACAGGCCAATCTCCAACATCTATAAACAAAGGTGTTGATGGCAGGATGGTGTCACAGTCAAACAGGAACAAATGAAGCTATTATGAGAAAAGGCAGAGACAGCATAACGTTAGAGATTAAACAAACAGCAGGGCTCGATGTTAACCATTGCCTGATCACCCGGGGCAAGTACTTTTTATTGTTGAGAGAGTACAAATTTCATTGCATTTGCCCGCCGGGCAAGTGCAGTGATCGCAAAAAAAATTATTTATCACTCAAAATTACTTTAAAATCACCGACATTAGCTGAAAACAACCCAGCCGGCACCATTTTTGTTGTTTTGTACACATTCTGGCGTGATTTGAAGAAGCCGCAAGATTTTCCGCCAGATGGCGTGATTTTTGTCCACCTAGCGGTAATTTTGATGTATTTACCAAAACGACAAACAAGCTAGAAAGCGCTATCATATGGCAGTCTTCTGTACAGTGGTCATACATTAAAAAATGTTCATTAATTTTTTTTCTCTCAGACAGCTAAACATGTTAAATAGGTGACCTGTTATGTTATTATTGTCTTGTTGCTGCATTTATTCTGTCAGCGAAAACTAATCCTGAATCAGTTAAAAGTCAGGGAATTCTGAAATTATGTAAGGATGTGGAAACCCTGTATAAAATAACTATGTATAATGATTCTCTAGAAAAGTCACATTATATTAATAGTATTATCTTGTATAAACATACTGTGACTCTAAAATAAGTTATTAATTTGCGACATTGACTTCTATCTTGTGATTTATCTTAAGTTTTTAACCTGTCAAGTTTTTTTTTTTAAGATTTTTAACATTACAATTTATATTTTTCCAAGCACACAACAGTTTAAAGCAAAGTTTAGTTTGAAAAGAATGTGCAGGAAGGATCGAAAAGCATGTTAACACGGCAATGTAGGCTTGAGTTCATTATCTGTTGCATGCATATACACACCAGGAACCTGTAAACTAAAAAAATACTGAATTACAAAAAACATTTAATATATATACACAAAAATGAATATTAGGAAGTATATGGCAAGTAAAAATTGTTACTGGGCAAATGAAATGTGAAAGTCACTTGCCCGAAGAGCAAGTGGTAAAAATTCTTAACGTCAACCCCTGAATAGATTCTGCAGAGTGGAAGAATAGTGATAGAATGAAGCAAAATGATGAAATGGGGGTCCCTATGTCCTCCAGCAGTCTAACCCTATAGCAGCATAACTATAGAGATAGCTCAGAATAACCTGAGCCACTCTAACTACACACACGTTTGAATACAAGAATATAGTTTTAAAAAGTTACCAAAGTACGTTTTGACCTGTTTATTTCCAAATGTTGCCGGGGTTATTTGGGGACATTTATTGGCGCAGTTTATGTGTAATCACAGTTAAAGACTCTAACATTAACCAGGGTTCAGGCTGCAGCATGAGAGACAGACAGCGGAAATGGAGGATTGTTTGAGCTCAAACACACACGGAACATCAAATATAGCTCCCGTGATCTGATCTGAACCATGACAGCTTCAGAAACTCCTGTCTCCAACCTGAGAGAGGGAGAAATATCACCGTCAGAGTTTCATTCACTCATAAACAGGGCTGGACTCTTTAGCCTGTTAGCGTGGGAGCCACCTAGCTGCGTCGGCCGTTTGACCACAAGGGCGTAACAAATATTAACACCGACGCTATGAGGACACTAGCAGTTAAATATACACAGGTTTCTAGTCACACTTCAGTGACTTGTGTGTGTAGACGACGTGCGAGCTGCGTTGTCTGCTAACTTACTTCCATTTCAGGATGTAAAAAGACACACGACACTCCGACAGCGTTGGCTAACCGCACTAAACAGAAGAAATGCTGCTAAGCTAGCTGGCCAAAGAGTCGGTGAATGTATAACTATAGCGGTGTTATGTTATGACCGAGGTGGGCGTCGCCTGCGAAGGTATAAAATCTGTAAGGAAGTCCAGTACTTACAGTTTGACAACATTTTCAACAACAGCTGCCATCTTGCTTTAAAACACGGGCAAAGTGCCTGCCGGGTAATGAGTGCCCTCTGTCTGGACTTGTAGGCAGATGGAGCAGGGACGTTGATTATAGCGGCTCCTAGTGGCGACAAAATGTCATTACCACTAGAACAAGTATACGGAAAAGGATTAGGGCCACTGAAAAAATAGAAAAAAGTTATGCAAAAAGTTTTAGGTCAGTTTTTTCTCAGAATTCTGACTTTGATCTCAGAATTGTGACATTTTTCCTCATAATTCTGACTGAATTCTGCAGCTAACAAACATGTTAGCATCAAACTCTAGCCATGTCTGTTTTAGAGACTAAACTAGCTTTCTTGTTTTAATCACCTTCTGCTCTTCCATTAATGAAATAGCATCACCTGGGATCCCTCCCAAACAACTCAAATCTTTGTCAGTGTAGCTGAGTGCTCCTACGTATCTTCTTTCATGGTGCCCATCTACATTAAGATCCAAAATTCTGAGATTTAAGTCAGAGTTCTGAAAAAAAAGGTCAGAATTCAGAAATTTGAGTCAGAATTCTGGGGGAAAATGCAGAATTATAAGATTTAAGTCAGAATTATGGGAAAAAAGTCAAAATTCTAAGATTGAAGTCAAAGTTCTGAGACTTAAGTCAGAATTCTGGGAAAAAAGTCAGAATCCTGAGAAAAAAGTTACAATTCTGGGATTTTAAGTCAGAATTCCCAGATTAAAGTCAGAATTCTGGGATTTAAGTCAGAATTCTGGGGGGGAAATTCAGAATTCTGAGATTTAGGTCAAAATTCTGAGATTAAAGTCGAATTCTGAGATTTGATTCAGAATTCTGAGATCAAAGTCAGAATTTTCTGAGAAAAAAAGTCATAATTCTGATAAAAAAAGTCATAATTCTGAAATTTAAGTCATAATTCTGAGGAAAAAGTCATAATTCTGATTTTTTTTCTGATATTAAACTGAAATAATATTTAATTATTTTTTCAGTGGCCCTATTCCACTTACATAATAAAAAATGTGTCATTACTAGAACATGTATCTTTAAAAAGCAGGCCTTTTTTGAGGCAATGTTTTTTGTTTTTATTGAAGAAAAACAAACAGATTATACAATAGAGTAAAAATATGCCAGGGGGTATGCTATAGTATAGTGGAAGGCCAAAATGACGTAATTTTATCGCACGGACCTCCCAGACGCTAAAGAAAAAAAGGAGAAGGATCAGGGAAAAGGATAAATGAAAAGAGCAAAATAAAAAGAACATGAAACTGCAAAAAGGATTTGAAAATGCAATGTGAAAAGTAAACTGAATTACCTTTTGAAATTTATGATTAGGTGTTTTGCAGATGTATGCATTGTGTTTTTAGACGTCCATTTAGAAACAGAACTTTTAGAAACAGGACTATTAATTCTATTTAAAATGTACAATAAGCAAACAATTTCCTGGTCCTCCATACAGGGGGGCATGAAACAAGTAGATGTATCATTTCTTTATTCGGTGCATGATTCATCAATTACATGCAAAACAATTTTTTTCCCCCATTAATTAAAAAGATTAAAAATTAATAAATAATAAAATGTTATTTTAAAAAAATATATAAATTTCTTCACTTTATGTACATAAATAATTCTAGAACAAAGTCATTCTATGTATTTTTAGTGGTTCTTTTGCATATATATTTTTGGAATCACAGGTACGTGAGGGCATTAATCGTTGCATGCATCTTTTCTCTTTATTGTGATAAGTGTCTAGTTAAGATGAGAATGTTGATTTATCATCTAAAATATAAATAGAATCCATAATAAAAAAAAAACTCCAGAAACAGTGAAATGTCATAATTTTTGTTACTATGTTTGTCCTTTTATTTTTCTTCAGTGAGGCATTGATAAATTTGAAATATATGACTTTGTGATGTTTACCGATATATATCATACTTATGTTACTGGTGTCCTGAATAAGCTTTATTTAAAGTAATATAAATCTTAAAGAGTATTATTGATGATTCCAGTGCTGTGGTAAGCAGTCATGGCCATTAAGGAATTCGAGAAATACCGAAGCAATTTTTTTTGTTATAATTTTTATCGTTATCACAATTATATCACCCAATATTGTGATACAATTTTAGGTTCAAATCACTCAACCCTAGTCACAGACTGATATGTTTGCAGAAGTAGACAGGAGAACCTACATAATATTGTTGGAAAGAAACAAAATCATATATGTCAGGGTGAATCAAAGGTCAGGTCTTAGCAGGAGGGGGAGCCATCCACTGGTCCCAGGATTCCTGCTCCTAGAAATCCTGACTATAAAGGTTCTGAACAGGACCGGTGACAGAGGGCAGCCCTGTTAGATTTCAATGTGCACCAGGAACAGGCACGACCCTGAGGGACCGGTGCCAAAAGGATTGGGCAGCAGACAGAGGGGGGCCTTGGCAACCCGATCAATGGAAGCTTAAACTGGCTCAGGGAAGTCGAGTTATGTAGCTTCTGAAGCCAATTAGATTGGCTACTTTCCTTTCCTCCGACTGAGCACACATTCACTCTGCGTTGTCAAAATGTATTTATGGGTAATACATATTTTGCAAGGAACCAACTAAGCAGGGAGTGCCTTGCCTTTACTGATCAGGGGGAAAAAATCAGTTTGAAGGCTAATTTATTCTCCTTTTTAGTCCTTAAACATATTGATAAACATAAAAAAAAAGAATGCCAACCACATATTCTTGATTAAACCGTTTTATTTTTCCTAATAGTAGATGTAGATACACAATTCAACAAACAGTATTTCTGATTTGTAATGAAAATGCTCCACAGCACACTGACATCGTGTGGAAGGCTCTGGTATTACAGACACATACCTGGGAGGAGGGGAGAAAAATATTGGACAGCAGTCGTAATTTTTGCAATAAGTTGCTTTAGTAACAGTAGTAGTAATAGTAACAACAGTAGCAATAATGATCATAAGAGCATTTAATATAAGTAGTGGTATTAACAACTCTGAATTACAGAGGAAGGAACAGACATTGGTGGGAAGAAAAGTTTATCAAACGCTGCAAGACAGACCACTGGATGAAAAAATACAAGCTCCCATTAGACAGCAAATATTCAGCATTCTTCTACAAGAGGAAGCTCTAACTGTCAGCAGTCTATATTCAACCACATCTAATACCTAACACTTAAGAGGTTTTTCTTCTTCATCGGCACCAGTACTCTTAGATGGAAAAACCTGCATGACATCAATGATGCAAGCTTTTCATGTTCTGGTCAAACCTCAACAGAAGCGAAAGATTGTTTTTTTTTAGAAAAGATGCCCTATGAACATAATCATAGCCAGTGGAGGACATTCCCACAAAACTGGAGGAAGAAGGTCGTATGAATGTGAGATTAAGAGCATGTCTACAATATGCCAAGAGTGAGTTATGCTTCACGTGACCAATTTGGCCAATTTCATTCACATTCCAATGAGCTGCATAAAAAATAAACAGAAAAACACTGCAACCTTATAGCTGGGATGTAGCAGCAGCAGTCGGATGCAGTGTAGATGTTCAGAGAAACGGTAGCGAAAGGAGCTAAACTCCAATGAAAGAGAACAATAACTTTGTTTGGATCTGTGCCGAATCTGTTGGCTCACGTAATGCATGTTTATGTGGTTCTGATTGTAGTTTAATTTGAACTGAAACTAGAATACCAGGTCCTACTGTAGAAACTGGTGCATAAAAACAAAACAAAAAAACTGTGAGCTTTTAACTAAATTCTCCTAAAGAGGATAATTAATCCTGTTTGGGTACAGAAAATAAGGCCATTTAATTTAAAGGAGATAATCTGCCTTCATGTTTCTATTCCTCTCCTTACTTCCATTCAATGCTCATAAAACCATTTCACATCCATTATTTTAATAACGACTGAGATAAATCAACACAAAAAATCCATAAAGCTTTAAATTAGTTGCATATTTTAGAAAATTTAATTTAACCTATTTGCCGTCAGCTCTTGTGAAACTTGTTGGATTATCTCTGTTCACACTAAAAACACAAGAGAGTCATGTGATGTATAAAGTTTAAGAAATCACTTCAAATCATTAGTGGTCAAATCAAGTACAGAATGACATGTGGTCGTTTTGAAACTTCCCACTGAAAAGCGCTCTCCTTTCCTACCTTAAATAGTACGAAACATCTAATACTAGAAGGAAAACAAAAGACCAACGCTGATGTAAGGCTGATTTGTGTGATCAGGCATGAGGGCGATTAGCAATCCTAACAATTATCAAAGTGTTTAAAAGCTCCAAAACTCCTAAAAACATCCCGTCATAATGTTTAATTATTTCCAAATGAAAAGTCAAAGTAAGGAATGGAGAGAGAAACCGTAACTACCAACCCATGCATAGTTATGAGATCTACATGGGTACTTCGACAATTCAAGCCACCTAATACCAGCCTGGAAAGGTGTGAAAAAGCACAAACTGCTGCTACAGTTTTTCCACTTGTTTTCGGGTAGAATTAGGTGCAGGTATGAACTGTTTACATTCACAGCACCCTGTTAAAGGCCCTTTTCATTTTAAACATGAACACAATCTGAGGAAACTCGAGATGCTTCCTTTGATTCTAACTGCCAATAAGTTAACCAATAACTTATAGATTATGTCCGATCCTGATTAAACTGTGATCTGATATTTCCAAAGATTAACTAACATGTAAAGCAAATGAAAACTATTGGACACGTAACATTGTCATGCCACATATGCAGGAAAAAGAAGCTCAGTCGTAACTGGCTGCTGGTTTTTCTATCTAGTAATAATTCAGACATACATTAGGTCATTGCCACAGGGCACATGTTTAACATTCAAATCTTTGTACTAAGAAAACCTTTTTAATTGAAGCGTAAATGTAGTGTTCGAGTAAAGGTTGGGTTGATGTTGAATTATAGGAGAGCACCTGAAGCGCCCTTGTCTCACCCTCCACTCCTCTCACGTGGAGTGAAAGACGGAAGCTGTCCTTCACTCCTCCTCTGCAATACAAAAAAATGTGCTTCAGCTTCTTATCTACAAACTGCCCCCGATGCTGGTCGATTGAACGGAAATACGTAAGGGGGCTG